GTTTCCCATACAAAATTGGAAAACGACGCCGTCTACATTTTGTCACACTCAAAGGTATGTTTTTTACGCGTCTACATTTTGCAACCTCGCAGTAAGGTTGCATTATGGCAACACCAATGAGATAATTTGATTTTATTGTGGACGTTTTCCGTATTTGCATTTAACTTGAGCGCAATGGCTGATGAAAACAATCAAATCAAGGTAAAAAAGAAAAAATATCTATCAGCAGTTGGTAATTAAGTTAAATAGTTACAATTTTTCAGAATAACAAACCAAAGGCGCCTTATAAAAAATGGACTGAAGCGGAGCAACAAACTTTAATAAATTTTCTACGCGACAATCGTCCACTGGAAAACCAAGCTGTAATGTTTATTATAGTAAGTATTTAGCTAAATTTAAATTAGAGGGCATCCAATGGAAGGCGGTTCGTAACAAAGTGCGGAGTTTGCGGCAAGCGTACGTAAGAGCAAAGGGAACGGAAAACTCCACAGGCGCTGCAACTTTCAAGGACGGGGAAACTATCCGAGGTTAGTAAAACATACATGTAAATTTTTATTCTTTTGAATTAAAACATATAATTGGGACAATAGGAATGATTCTACAACAATGCCCATTGTATGACGAGTTAGAGGACGTTTTTGGCTATAGAGAGTTTGCAGCGGTTGAAGGCATCATCGACTCGGAGGACAACAGTGCAATAGACAGGTACTCGCCAACGTTTGATATAATTGATGACGACCTTATTGAAGTTGTATCGGAAGAATTGCCCCACACCGGCAATGACGAAGTAGAAAATGAAGCACTAGTGCCATCACCCTCCACTCTAGTGCAAGCGAACGCCGAGGCTATAAACACTCCTGTAAAAAGTTTGCGGAAAGGCATATATTCCAGAACGGCACTATCCCAAGTACTTGAAGTCAATTCTAGTTTATTGGAGGTAAGGAAACATCGTAATGAAATGGAGTTAGGCTTGAAGAAGGAGGAGCTGGCTTTAAAAGCCAAAGAAGTGTAACTGAAAGCAGATCAATTTAGCTTTGAAAAAGAAAAATTTAAAAGTGATGAGCGGCTCAGAATTTTAGAGCTCGAAATGCGAGAAAGAATCGCAATGAAAGAACTGGAAATCAAAAAAGAAATGGAGTTAGAAAAATTAAAATTACAAAAAATGTAAACGAATCAAAATTAAATTTTTTATAATTTCAAAAACTAAAAATTTACATTTAGTATAAGACTGTATAGTATAACTAGTATAACTGGGTATTAGTGTAACTGGGTACAAAACTTAATACTCAAAAAATTTTAAAAACTGATTAAGAAGTTTCACAGTTTTAAGAAAATTTGTAGAATTCTTCTAAATGTCGTACCAAGTTTGGAACTTTCATTTAAATGGTTTCTCCTATAACAACGAATGGTTTAAAAATGCCATATATCAGATTTGGGTTGAAGAAAATTGTTCTAAGACGCGCTTTCTCAGCCGAGAGAGCCAAAATAACAATTTGACAATTTGTCTTTTGTTTGGTTAATGTTCACTCATATTTTATAAAAGTATGGTTCTTATAACAAAAGCCACATAAATCCAAATTTCAATCTTAAATAGTACAAAAATTAAAAGAAATCAACAAAGTTTCATCAAAACTTCAAACTTTTTGATTAGAATTTCTAGAAAATGTTTTGGTATGCACTTTTATAGCCTATTAGTTCTAGTGTAAAGTTTATGAAAAATCTCCTTGATTTTTGATACATTTTTTGCAGATGGTATTGTGCTTTTAGTTTCTTATAAAATATTTTCGAACATACTCAGCAAATTCAAAATTAGCAAAAAATCAACAGCATTTTTCAGAAACTTCTAACTTGCACTTAAATTTCAATATTCTAAAATTTAATGGGCTGTAGAACTGAATACCAATAAGCTTTCTAGTTGATTTCTTTGTACAAACTTCGAAGTTTGGACGTACATAGTTTTTGTTATATAACGAGCTATACTTTTATAAAAAGTTAATATATATTAAACAAATAAAGTCAAAACTTGTCAAAATGGTTTGCCGCAGTTTTATATTTCACTATACATATATAAGATGTTGAATATTATAGTTTTAAAAACTAAATACTATTTTATAAAGGAGATTACAAAGGTTAATTTGTTGATTTCTTTGTACAAACTTCGAAGTTTGGACGTACATAGTTTTTGTTATATAACGAGCTATACTTTTATAAAAAGTTAATATATATTAAACAAACAAAGTCAAAACTTGTCAAAATGTCACTATACATATATAAGATGTTGAATATTATAGTTTTAAAAACTAAATACTATTTTATAAAGGAGACTGAATTTAATAATTAATTTAGTATAGAAATGTATGTTAATACGAAAGAAATAAAACTATTCAATTTAATTATCAGTAATTTTGTTGTATTTCTTCACTCATTTATAAAGTTAGCCAATTCCAGTCTAGAAACAGAAGAACCCGAAAATTCAGCTGGATAAACAACAGCTTCACACCCTTCGGTTTCTTCACCAACCTGCTGATACTGCTGTATTATGTTGTGGAGAATGCAGCAGGCTAATATCCATTCACAACACATTTTATGATTATCCGTATCCTGTAAACGGAATCGCATTTCCTTTAAACTGTTGAACCGCTCCTTTAGTTTTCCAAAATAGTTTTCCACCCTCACTCTGTATTTGGAAAAGTATTTATTGAATTTGTCTCTTTTGCCCTTTGTTAGCTCAGTACTGTTTTGTCTGAATGTTGTTATCAAGTTGGCACCAACTGGATAAGCAGAATCACCATCCAGCCACTGTTTCTCCGAAAAGTACCTTGCTGAATTTTTGCAAATAGGTGAGAGGCTGTATATCTTGGCATCGTGAACACTGCCTCGGTGGCCCAAGCTTGCTTGATGAATTTGCAAATTAAAATCGCAAACGACTTGCATTTTAACGGAATACTGCTTTTTCGGGAAAAATACAGCTCATGATTTTTAACCGGCGCTTCTGCTAGCCTAATTTCAGACCCATCAACATAACCAATACATCCGGGTAGCTCATGCATTGTCTTTGCTGCGATAGCTTTCCTCTCAGTTTCTGACGGCCAAAACAAAAATTTGTGTTTTAAATTAATGAGCGCTTTTATGACACGATATGTTACAATATTTAATGTGCCACCATCACCAAATCCAAACAATGTAGCAATTTTTCGAACGGATGCACTCTCTCCACTTGAACCAAGTCTGAACAGGGCAATCTGCAATTGCCGTTCTATAGACAGCTGAGGAACGCCATTTTTGTTCGAGAAAACCTTGTCGTCCTTGATGAGCGATAAGATGTAGCTGAACTCCTCGATCTCAACACGTAGCATCTGACGACATCTGTTGCTATCGAACTGCCCAAGCACACTTTGCGTCCAATCCTGTGTTTTCGGAACATAAAAATGAGTTGCTCGTCGATTTGTAAGTGTTTCCACAACATTGATGGTAAAGGCCAACATGATGTCCTCCTCATTTTCATCGTCACCTTTGAATAAGCACCATTAGAAACTATTTATAGTATGAAAGCTATTCTTACTTGAATCATTCATTAATAAATCTAGTGCATTTTGGAAGCACAGTCCATTTAACAGTTCTCCTTTTTCACTTGTAATCGGCATATTAGCATCGCATTGACAATTTTCAAAGAGCATTCAAAGCAGAATATGAATTATAAACTAAATTTTCGAATTGACCCAAACAAGAAATGTCTGGCAACAGCAGTAAAGTTTTGCGACGACTGCGAGAAAGGGGTGCTCACAGTTTGATGCTAAAAACGTCTTAAAATGAAGACGTCTACATTTTGAGACACTATTTGGAACGAACTGTGAACACCCCAATTGAATACACCACACAGTAGCTTTGGTTCTTTACAGATAGGCGCATTTACACAAGGTAGTGTTAGCCGAATATAAGTAAAAAATTACAAAAGCAAATTACAAGAAACACATAATTTTCACGTTATGCGGGGAAAAATTCAGCTGTTGCTCCAACATTAGAGATTAGGCACAGCTACTTTGATTTGCTTGTTTAACATATTTTTGTATTTTTTGATAAAAATGGGCGATTTATTAAATTTGATAAAGTGTGGCAAAACCTGAGTATTTGTGAACAATTTTTAAACATAAAATGCGATTAAAAATTCGCAGCAAATACATATGTTCAGTTGTCAAAAGCATCGGTCAGGTGTTTACTAGCTAGTTTCTGATAGTTTGCGTTTCTTGACTTTTTTTTACATTTCACTCGCTGTGAGCGTAATTCTCTAATTCTTCCCATTCTTCTTCCTGATAATGATCTGCTAGAAAAGTAAAGAAACGAAGCTAGTGTGTGTGTACATAATACACTGCCTGTTTTAATATGAGCTTATTATACATACCACAAGTAGAGCTGCTATCAGTGTTGCCGTTTTGATAAATTGGTAGTTTCATTTCAGGGCTGTTCTGGTTTCGTTCGAAATTGATTTCTCTTCGATTTGAATTTCCGGTTCCAAATTTTAAAGATGTTTTGCAATCCTATCGAAGTTTTGAAGTTATAATAGAAAATAAATCCTATTCGAAATGTCAAAAACGCAGTGAGCTGTTGTTGCATAGTATTCGTTTATTAGAACATTTGTAAAAATTGTAAATAAATTTTGTCGAATGGCGGTAATACAATGGTGATGTGAAAGTAGAAAAGCGTACTGAAAGCGTGCTAAAATGGCCTAAAACTCGTACCGAAATATTAAGATTATGTTGCTGACATTCCGTAATTTTATTGCATCATGGTTAAATGAAAACAAATAAATAAAAATAAAACTGCGCGAGCACAGTAATACATTTTTTTTGTTACCAAATATAAAATGTTTATATCGATTGTATTTTTTTACATTTGAGACATAAAATAATTGATATAAATTGAATTAATCTCAAAGACTCATACTTTTACATGAAGTAAAATCAGAAACGAAATAAAATATCAATATCTGATGATTAAAAAAAATTGGTAGTTTGGAAACTGATTTGGTAGGATTTTTTGTTCCTAAAAATATTGTCGAGTGGTAACACTGGTTGGTATGTTTAATACACCTGTGGTGAAATATGCATCAATAAGGCACCCCTACACGCTTAAAGTTTGTTTGGGTACTAATGATTCAACATCGTGCCTTCACAAATGCAGCTATAAGTTTCATAGTACATACGAGTACAACAACAGCGAGAATTTTTTCTACATAACATAGGCGAACACTGGTTTGATTTCTTCTTTTCGTACGCGAACGTTAACAAAACATGTTGAAATGTATACGTACGCGTTTGCGTTCGAATAATGGACGTGTGGTAGGCGCTTAAACTTCTGTCAACTTTGACAAGAAACATTTTCTATACCAAATTCTCAAACTGAATTGTGTCTAGGGCAAAATAAATACACCGTTCTTGGCTTGGTAAATATTTTTGTGCCAAACTCAAGAGTCTGTGTAAGTTTTCAACGACGACCATATTTTCAAAGTATTATAAAAGTAAGGCTAAGTTCACAACCTAGAGTAATAGCGTTACCCGATGCAATGGAAATCGCTCAATCCAAAGAAACTTCTTCGCCAGCATAATCGCTGGCGATTAAAAAGTAGCTAGTGTTTAAATTGTAGCAAAATTATACGACTAATTTTGTATAATAGGGGAGTTTACGATGAGTAGCATTTTAGATTTAAAGTTGCTACGTACCAATCTAGCACATATTTTGTTGTTGGGAAAGCGACAAAACGTGTGATACATTGCTACGTAGGGATTCCCCTAATATACTTTTTTTGTTTCCAAAACCCTTTGACAATTTATACCGAAACTTAAGCATATTGTATTGTATATAATAGCAGTAGAAGAGATGTTTAATTTATTATATAAATATGTACATATGTATATTTTTTATTTATTTGGGCTTTAAGTATGAGAAAAAGCTTTTTTAACAAACTGCATAATTTTTATTTGCTTGCACAGCGATAAACACCAAAGACTGTGTAAATGTTGGTTAGAAGCGATTTTTATGTATTCTCGCTACGCTAA